AAAATTGTTTATACTATTAACTTAAGATATTAGCAGTATATTTAATATCTATTTATCAATATTGCTTAGCATATAATATTGTGTCACAAAAACTTTCAAATTTTTATATAAAAAATTTTTTATCAAAAAACTATAATTAATTTATTTCTATTAACTGATCAATATTTTGAACTTAATTAATCAAATACTATTAGTTCTCTAAATGAATTTGTATAATCAAAACATTATATACTAATTAATTTAAACAAAATCTTTTTTAGTAACAATAATTAAAACAAAATCATACTAACAACAAATAAACTAATTACTAATTATATTACAACAATAACAATATTATTATTACAATCAATTATCTATTAAAAAAATATATTATTAACACTATTATATATTTTAAACAGTAGTTTAATTATTTCTGAAAATATAGTTATTGTATTTTAGTTAAATAAAACTAATAATATAGCATGCCTAATGATTTTATCCAAAGTATTTATAGCTTTATAATTAGTTTTTTTGTATCTATTTTTTTATTTAATATTTTTTTTTTCACTTTTTTATTTTTTATAATCTTTTATATATAAATCTAAGTAAGTATTTATAGTTGCTTAATACTATCTTAGATATATAATTTTAATATTTATTTTTTTTACAACTTAGATAATTTATATAAGTAAGCTAGTATTAGACTTATTAGCTTAGCAAGTTATATAAGAGATATTGTTACTTTATATATATATAAATGAATAATTATTTTTGCAAATGAATTGAAAATTTTTTGATATGATCCTAAAATTTATATTATATACATATTGTTTAAAAGTTGGGTCCAAAAAAATTATATTCAATATTTTTGTTGTTTCAAAAATAATTATTCAAATTTTAAACAATTTTACAATTAAAAACATAATAATATTTACTTACAAAAATAATAATAATAATAATGGTAATATATATTTTATTTATTAAATTTAATATAAATTTAAAAATAAAAAATAAAAATAAAAAAAATTATTACGATTTTTATAAATAGGTATATATATAATATTTAGGAATTTAAATTAATTATATTTGATTTTCAAGTTTATATTAAATTTAATATATAAAAGATATATTAATATTATTTTTAATAAATTATTTAATTCCAATTTTTAGAATTATAATAATATTTTATATATTTAGTTGAAAAAGATTATAATAATAAAAATATATTTAAGAATATTCTTTTAATCTTTTAATAAAATAATCATTAATATTCTTTTAATCTTTTAATAAAGTAATCAATAATTTTACAATTATAAAATTATTTTGTTCATATTTAAAAGTCTTAATAAAAGAATTTGATTTTTGATTTTTATACAAATTAATTATTTTGATTTGATTTATATTATGTAATAATGAATGGATTCTCTTGTTTTTAAATAACTATATACTGTATATTTAATAGAATATAGAATATATTATTAATTATAATATTAATCATAAATGATTATTTTGTTAAATTTTAATTAATTATTTTATTTTTTATCTTTTATTATATATATTATATATAATCAATATACTGTATTTAATATATTTTTTTATAAAACTATTTTTGGTTTTAACAATATATATTATATTTATTTATTATTATTAAATTTAAATTTAAATTTAAAAGAATAATCAACATATTATTTTAACAACAATTTTTTTTAAAAAAAATTTAAAATTTTCTGGAAAATTCTTAAAACAAAGATTAATAATTTTTAAAAAATCGTTATTATTGAGAAAAAAAGTATAAACCTTATTTTTAAATAGATAATAGTAAAAAATATTAAAATTAAATTAATGATATTTATCTTTAAAACCATGTGAATATTATTAATAATTATTTTATATTTTATATAAATTGATTTTTTATGTAACTTGTATTAGTTTGTTTATTTGACATATTTTCATAAACTTTATTTTAAGAGCAAGCTTTTGGTGTATGACGTAATCATAAACACACGTGAGCAACACATTTTTTTTTTTTTTTTAAAAAAAACAAAAGTACTTTTTTATTTGCGAGCAGCATTTTGGAAAGAATTATACAGTACACATGTACAGTATATACTGTATATGTATACAAACAATGCATTTTTGACTTGCTATCAATTTATCATACATACGGTATGTACATTAGTGTAAATTAATTTGGACTGATTGGCGTTTTTTTTTTGTAGATTGATATTTGATTTTGACATAGTGGTTGTTTGTTATTGAAATTATTAAACTCAACTATCATTAATGCATCTTGAAACCATCATTGAATTTGACTTATGGAAAGATAGTAAATAAAACCCTTGCGTCATGTGGAAATAGATGAGAAAACCTATTGCGAGTGTTAGGTGAGTTGATGTGCATGCTCCGAAACTCGGAATTTGAGCCTACATGTTTGGTTAGCGTAAAAAAGGACCGACAGATGTTTTTTTTAATTTCGGTCGCAGATTCACGGAAAATATTTTCTATGGGACCAAATATCTTCCTATATTTAGGATTATAAGTACGCATGATATTGTTACCATTGGATTTTTGGCATGTGCGAATGCATTTTTATTAGTGTTTGATGCTTCCAATTTTCTCGATCGTCGGTTCTTATTTTCGACAGCAAAATGGTCAGGGTTTATCGAGAGTCATTGTAGTTTGTACGTACGTTACATGTACCTACAATGTACCTACAATGTGCCTACAATATTCCTATTCTTAACTTAAGATTCTAGCGTCTTTGCATGCATGATGCTGTTGTTTATGACCTGCCGCTTTTGAAATTTTGTTTTATCCTCAAAAGTAAAGCAGCGTCAATTTAATTTTGGTTAATGTACAATCCAGGTGTCATTGTGATAGCACTTTAACATAGAGTGTCGGACTTGGTTCGCCGGCTTCGTAAAATGTAAATCACCCTTTTTCTGTGGGATGTGGATTGTGTTTCCAAGAGGGAGCAGACGTACGTCCTGCTGTATCACGTATTTCAAAGTCAAGATCTAATAGCATTTGGGAAATCTTCTTCCGAATGTGTAAGAAAAAATTTTTTTTTTTTTTTTTTTATGTGGTAAATCCAATTCGATTCATTCGCAAGGACAATCTTTGTTTGATATTCATTATCTAGAGGGTGTATCATGTGGACGAATATCTTTCCAATTTGAATTTCCATTTATGGCGCTTTCCATATTCAACCACTTTATCGATTAGAAGGTGGGGTGCATGATCACGTGACATTAGCAAATTGCGTTTTGGCTGGTAGTAAAAGTCAATTTTAGATAGGAAAGCGGAAAAGGGGAAACTTTTTTTTTTTTTACAATGAACCAGCCGACCGTCACAACGATCGCATTTTTTTAGGTGCGATAGCTGACGGCTGTCATTCAAGAAGCAGGCAAGCACGCATGCAAACAATCCTCGATTGAGAGGAGCTCAAGGCGCGCGAGTGTTGCGATGAATGATGCCACGCGAAAGTCTTCTCTATACACGTGGCCCTTTTTTATTTTTTTTAACAAGATTTGATTGGCCGATTTAAACGAGATTTTTTGAAATAAATCATTGTAACATTATATCATCTCAAATTCTACATCCGCCCTCTTTGGCATAGTGTTCAGATGTGTTTCAGACGCGTCAATGCGCCATTACGTCATATTAGAGGGACCTTAACTCCGATAAATGAATTATTCTTTGAGCAATATATGTCGTACGACAAATCTAATAATTCAATAAGGACTTTTGTGGGCATGTCAACGTTATATATACTGTTATATACGTATATGTATAATATATTCCAAAACCCCTCATCTTGGTTTGTTTCTTTTTTTGGTCATCCCAATGTAGCACCATCCCATTTCGACATTATCATAACAATAGGATCGACTTTCCACGCAGTGGTGTGCATTCACAAAATTGGAATACTTACGACCGTCAATTGATGCACTCAATGGTTAGGTCCATTCGCTCCGGAGGTCAAAGTGCGTAATCATCTCAACTCTCGAACATTCGAGTCTCGTGAATTGGGTCAATGGTAAACGATCGCGAGTGGTCGCGAAACGCATCACACGCTCGAGGTCAACTGACGCACGCGAGTGACTAACCGAATTTTTCTTCTTTCATTGAGTAATTTTGAAACGGTGAGAAAATTTATGATTTTGTACGAAAAAATTTTTATATTACATATTATAGCAAGAAATATAACAATTCGGTAGAGGCGATGAAGATCAATTTGGAGATTTTACAAATAGTACGGGGAAAAAGGAAATTACAGGGATTTTTGAAATTATATACATAGATGTATATAGGAAAAAAAAAAAAAAAATCTAGAAATTAATTGAACATAGGTTTTTTCTTGTAGAAATAAATAAATTAATTAACTGTTGAGATTTGATTTTTTGAATGCTTAACGAATTAAAGTTATTGCTCTTGTTAATTTTCTGTCTGTTACTATTATTTTCTTGTTGGTTTTTCAATAACACCACGCTGATTACTGTAAATACATACGCAGATATATATATTGGGGTTTTTCGATTGTCAGTGTTGATCGCTCTCCGCCTTTTATATATGCTAGCTACTTAACATATCTTGAAATTATATGAACAAGTGTTTTTTGAAAAAAAAAAAAAGTTTTCGTAAAAAAAGGAAGCGAATCGCACGCACAATAATGGCGTGCATCCTTCATCCCCGCAACACGAACGGTGCCACAATATGTACCCCTCTCTCTCTCTCTCGGAAACGCAACCTGTCTCCGCGACTACCCCAAATATATATATTCTTTTTTTTTTTTTTTTTAGTTATTGATCAAATTCTCACCAACAAATAAAATAAAGAGAAAAAGAAAATTCGACAAAAGACTAGACACACATAATTTGTTTTCGAAGGAAAAAAAAAAAAAGAAAAAAAAAAAAAAAAACAAAAAAAAAAAAAGCAATTAACTATATATATATAAAGAACGCACCAAAATTAACTACATATCTTAGTACATCGTAAGGATTTATCTTAGTGTCAGGTGATCACAGTACCGTCTGGCATTTGCAACAACGCTTTAGGTCTGGTGAATCACCATTTTTTGGTTTTTTAAACATCGCATTATATTCTGACTTGAGCGGGATATACCGGCATTCCGGATTCGTGCACACACATTTTGTCTTTTTGTACCTGTGTGATGAACAATGGCATGAATGAGATCTCTAGGTATCACGGGTGGCTGTCGCGGTAAAATAAGATGAAATAAAACAAAGCATGCATACCTCAACCCACAGCTGTTACACAGGAAGAGATCGTTGCGCCATCCGGGCCTCCAGCAAGGGGTGCTCCTCGTCCTGCAGCTTGCGCAGATCTTTGTCTTGTTGTTCGAATCACGGCGGTGAGATGCGTGCAAAACCGATGAACTGTGACTTATCTTTGAGGACACATATTCGGCCTTACGTTTCTTCGCGTGCAAGGTAAAGTCCGGGTCGTCTTCGTCATCCCCAAAATTATCAGAGTTAAGTTCGTAGTCACTCAGCTCGGATGTTGGAATGGAAGATAGGGAAGAGACTGAAGCAGAGGGACGTCGCTTCTTGGATGCGTGGTAATAAGATTGATTGTTACCGTTGCTTCCGGCAGAAGATCGAGCCAATTTCTTGTCTCCCGACATGGAGGCCCCGGTCGCGGATGATCGCGAAATTTGAGAGGGGGAGAATGACGACATAAATCGTTGATCGGTATTTGCCATGATACGACGTGAGGGACCTATCAATGGATCGTCCGAGTTTCGGGCATTATCTGTGTCAATGATGCCTTCCAGTCCTGATAGCTTGAGCAGTTCCATTTCCATATTTTCTCGTTTATTCTTTGCCCGGGTCACGGGCCTGGATCTCATTCTTGATCGTCTCGCCTGGGTGATGGATCGAACGATGTCGGGAAGCAAAACCGGTCGATGAATGATGATTGCCGAAGGACCAGCCAACGTGTCTTGATGTGCACTATTAATTCCTGTGGAGCTGTGAGTGGAGTTATGAGTTGAGTTGTTGTTGTTGTTGTTTGCGGTGACATTGACGTCCATCGGAGAAGCAGCGTTCTTATTATCGGAGGCATCGCCATCGATGGTGGACGGGACTTGCTGCGATGGTGATTGAGGTCCGTCGGTTGTGGTTGTGGCCACGGTATTCGATGTGGCGGTGGGTGCTTGAAACACCGCAGGAAAACTGAACACCATACCGGGGTCACGTTCCAAGTCCTCGTGACCCGGTGATCTGAACGGAATGCCCTTACGCTTCCGTTTGAATGAGGTGCTACCATTGACGCAGGAAGAGGGTTTGAAATCGGTGTCGGGAGAAGTATCATTACCGCCACTAGAAACCGAGGCATCGGCACCAGGCGAGGAAGATCGGACAGAGGAGGTGGAGGTGGATGACGAGGCGTAGGAGTAGGATTCCTTGACACCGATTTTACGGGCTGCAGCGATCTGAGTAATGAGCGTAGGGAGGATCGAATTGTCATAGATGTAGTATCGCGATCCTTGCTGAACCACCGGTCCCGAGCTCGTCGGCGTGGACGGTTCCGAGGAACCATCAGTGATGTCGTGAACGGATGGTGGCGCGGTGATTATTGAAGGCTCGGATAATTCCTTTCCCTTGATCATGGAACTACCGGAGGTAGGGAAAAACGAATTTTTCACTTCCGACGGGGAATCTAAGGCCGGAGGCGTCAGTATTCCGAAATTTGATGTCACATCTGATGCGACCATTTCAATCTATTATCGAGTGCAAGTTGCGGATCACGGGAAAAGAAGAGATTTAGTAAGTAGGTGCATAACCGCAGTGCCGCTCTAAGTGTGAATCATGACGCAATCAATCGACCGCAATCGAGAATGGATCAGCCAGATCGAATTGGGAAAGCAAAATGAGCCGAGTCGTCGGAGAAACAAGTAAAAAAAATTGGACGACGAATCGAGGACCCGAGGCGTAAAGTAAATTTAATAGCATACATCGGATTCATGAAAAGGGTCGAGGCAAGCGTGCAAAAGAAGAAAACAGGGTGGCTTCTAAAATCGCCAAGTTGAAAAGGAAAATAATAATAATAATAATAATAATAATAATAAATAATTTTTTCTGACTAGAAAGAATAAGTGAAAGGTGAGTCGAAGGTGGTGGAACGACCAAGAGTTTGTGTGCCGGTGTGAATCGTGTGCGCCAATCAAAGGTACATGATCAGGATCAAGAATCAGAAGCATTGTGCACACGATGTGCACAGATAGGACGATCCAATGTTCGAATGGGTCGATGTGGTGTGAAAGAAAAATTTTCCTGGCGCATAATGAAAACGAGAACGGTGGTCACATGAAGAAAAAGAAGAAAACCTTTTAAGGAGTCGACAGTTGGTGTATCATTTACGGCGGGGGGAAGGAAGGGTGTAAAAATAAGAAAGGAAATTTTTTCGCACAGCTACCAAATTTCTCGTTGCCATGAGGTGCATCAAGGAGGAATGAACAAGATATAGACAATTTGTTTACCTGTAGTATAATCCGAAAAGTTGTTGAGGGGAGGGTGGTATCGATTCGAGGATGGAGAGTTGAATTAACGTCGATATTCACCGAGGGTGGGTATCGTCTTCGAGAATGAAGTGAGTAAGAAGAAACGAAGAAAGTAGAGTAAAGCGAAACAAGACTGGTCGGTCCAAGATAAACGTGTGCTTGTGTAGAGCTGATATCTTGTGTGCGAGTGTGAAATTCTAAATTCGAGAGTGCGAGAAGTT